TGCAAGCAATGAATGTGTTGCACTTCCATTGAGGAGGATCCTATTCCATGCCCTACCTCACCTAAACAATGTCTCCTACAGTATGTTTTTCTCACCCACCATCATCAAAAAATAAAAATTCTCCCCTGCTCTCACACCGGTGACTCAAGATTGCAGGCATATCCAGTACATTATCCATTGAGCTATTTTGCAAGTGTAACCCCAAACAGTCAAGTGGCATCAGGGCACTGGACACTGGAAGGGACAGAGACAGGGACGGAAGCTCAAATGCAGTACAAATTCTGACCTCACTAGATTATTTATCACCAGCTGTCAATGCACAACAAACAGGAATCCTGGCTGATGTTCCACCTGCTGACCCAGGAACACTGAAGCCAATTGACGTGTCATCGGTTTTCAAACATTAGTCTGATTTCTCCCTCGCATTACAAAGCCATTGGCAAACCGAGACATTACCTGATTACACAGATGACGCAGCACTGCACAAACTGATTTTTAAAAAAAAAATCCCAGTTTTATAAATGAAAAGAATGACCCTCATCATGGGAATACGTTACCTATTCTAGCACTTCCTGTTATGAATAGAAACTAGCTACCAGTTTACTATTCAACAACGTACACTCAGCCTAACATTATTGTAGCAGTCCCAGTACACCGAATCCCAGATTGGCAGAAAGCACTTGTTCTTTTTCCAGTTTATGATTCCATTACAGGATTAGAGACATTTACGGTTTAGCACCAACATGATTCACAAGTTTGATCATGCACACTTCCCCTCCTTTTCATTCAAGCAACTGTATGAGGTTAGAAGACTTCTTAATCACCTCCCTTCCATGTACCTACAACTTAAAATGAGTACAGGTGCTTGATAAATACCCTGGAGCAATCAGGAATTAGGTCCAGTGGGTGTCAAATCAGACAGAGGACTTGAGATTGCAGTTATGATTACTGAATTTGAATTTGCTAGTTAATTATTAAACAAGTACGTGATACACACATAGAATTTCCAGTTAATGCTGATTCACTTCCAGGTCAAAAAAAACGACCCTAAAAGAATATCTTGCCAATATCAAACCAATTTATTTGAAGTAATAAACAATGTTTTAATGGATTTCAGGAGACTAAAGAGGTTTGAGAATTACAGAAGTGCAAACTGGTCAATTTACTAACTTATAACACACTTGCATTAAGTAATAAATTTGCTGTTTAAAAATAACATCAGTGCGCTCAATGCAAAATAAGTCATTTGGGGCAGTTCGCAATCCTTGCACCATAATTAAAATAAAGTAGGTCTGGGAGCAGCAGAGATTGCAATGTCACAGTAATGGTAGAAGGAGCCATTTGTCAGGACGATAATGGTTAAGTGCTAAATTGCTATTCAGCAAGTGCATTGTGTGGACAGTCGCTGTGATGTGCTCACAGCTGAACAGCCTCCTCTCACACACACATGAAGAATGATTAGTTAGAAAAGTAGCAGAGGGCTACAACTTATATGTAACTGCACCCCCAACATGAACTGTTGCCTTAAGATGAAGAATGGGAGGAGAGAGGAGAATCAATCAAGACAAAAAATATTCAGGAACGAGTAAACAAGCCTCCAAAGACTGGTGTCTGGCACAAATTCAACTTGGTCTTTTGTTTGTAGTCTTTACAAATCCTAAACCACCTTTAATTCACAACCCAACACAGCATCTCTTGGGAGTGGCTGGCATTTGTGGGAGGCTACGTTGACAACAGAGCACAGGGCTCTCAAGTCACAAAGTGATTGATCCCAACTCTTTCTGATATTGGGGTGCTAGATGATAGACTCTTCCACCTCCGGTGCCTTTGCAGTGGAATTGAGAAGATGCAAGGACATTTGAGCCTTACTTCCAGGCATCCCTTTCAGAGAGAGTACAAATAACATGGGGAGCAGCTACAGAAATATGCTGCCCATGCTCTTCATCTCCAAACTCCAACGTTAACTTAATATCCAATGACTCACGGCGGCAGCAGTGTGTTCATTATAATATGGTAAGAGCACCAGGAAACCTCTGCATTCTGGCAGCTTGTCAGCAGCAGCCATTCAATTCACAAGTACTAATAACATTTGACTGGAGAGTAATCAAATCTAGATAAGACACAAGTCAGCAAAACAAGTGGCTCTTGCCAATAGCATGTTATCCCTCTCCTAGTTGCACCACAGAGAATAACTGCTGGGGAAAGATAAATTCTCAACAGCCATTAGCTTTTTGGATTGAAATTCTGAGAATGACAGAACGCTGGTTCACATCCAAAATTTACAGCATGCTGGTCTGAATCCCCCCTCTGGAAAATGGAAATGCTATTGCAGCACTATCAAACTTTAATTAGTGAACTGACTCCTTCTCGGAATAGTTTATTAGCACATATTTTCCATTTTGAATGGCTGAACAATATATGCACCACAGCCTAAAGCTAGTGCATCCATTTTCTAACTCGCACACCTGTTAAAAGTCAAACCAACTTCATGCCTTAAGGTCAGTTTTAAAGACAGGGGCATGTTTATTCAGGTCAGTTTAAAAGCTTGACCCTGAATACTTCAATAAAAGAGACAACATCTCTAAAAGTTGTTGCAGGCTTAGATGATTTTCAAAAACTGCAATTCAATAAAACCTGATAATCAGAATCCGTTTATATTTAAAAAATAATTCTGGCCCCCTTTGATCACTCAGTGAATTTATTCAGCAAGATGTAGCTGAGCCACACAGGTTCATTCAAATCCTGAGCTGCGCTGAGTTCGCTGATCTCAGCTGGGGCAAGAGTAAGGGCATGACAACTGATTTCATCCCAGGGGTTACAGGAGGGAAAGCCAGTCAAAGGTCTTGTTCTTGAGCACTGTCCAGAAACCCCTGTTGGATTCTGGACAAGGTCAGGACTGAGCTTGATTGTAGTAACCCTGGATTCTAATGATCTGCCAACACTAATTATTCAAGACTCCCAGACAACTAATGGCCACTGCCAAATGCTGATCAGAACCAAACTCCCAGACAATAGACACCTTCGGGAGAGGAGGTGGAAGAGGTGAGAGCATTTTTATATTAACAACAAAAAATTGGTTCTAGCTAAAGATGCTACTTAAAAAAAAACTGACCTAGTTAACTTGGTGTGCTTCTGGAAACTGAGGATTAAACTTGGGGTAAGAATTGTTTTAGGTCAACATAATGAGCTGTGGGAGAGGTCAACAAATGCCCATTGAAGGGAAACTACTGCTTTTTTTAAATGTTTCAAATCCGTAGCTTGGCTCTCTGCGTGGAAGGGCAAGCCCACAATTCCAACCAACCCTCTCAACTAATCGGTTCATCAGCTAAGTCCAAGTCGGTGCCGTTGCACGCACCGCCAGCGTCACAAAAGTGCAGACCTGTAAATGACAGCCCAAGGATTAAGCTGATCGAGATGAAATTTGCCTGGCAACGGACTCATTACAGCGGAGTTCAGAAACAGGCCAGCAATCCATTTTCTTATCTCCATAGTAAAAGATAACAGTCTCCATCCACTCCTCAGCCCTCCCCTGCAAAGGGGAATGGGGGTGTGGAAGGGGGGGGGGGGTGGGCAAGCTTCTTTTTGAACTTCGGATTCATATTTATAAAGACCGATCAAAGCCAGGACTGATTATACAGATAGGTGGATAGATAAAACCCTGCAAAGGCTGGTGCCATTCGACACATTATTCGATTTTTCAATCTGCAGACACTCGCGGAAAGTCATCCAAGCACATCAGCGACGTGCAAACCAAATTAATTGTTATTCTCCAGAGAGGCAGAGGGTGGGAGGGAGGGAGGGTGGGAGGGAGATACACAAATGACAGCCTCCCTTCTCCCCCCCCCCCCCCCCCACCACCCTCTGCCGTTCTGCGCAAATGATTAGTCACGCTGGATTCCCTGCTAATCAATTCAAGATAAACTGGTTTTAAAATAGTAAAGAGGAAATGCCTGTAACAATGGCGTACTGTAAAGATTGCAGATTGCCTCGACCGATTAAAACCGTGCATCAGCCACAAGGTTATGCCACCGCCTGCACCACAATTTCTCATGGATCTTGCCATGGAGGAGGAAGGAGGAAAGGGGGGGTGGTGGTTGGGGGAAAGGGCTGGCTTGATTCAATTAGAGCTGTGATATTTCCCCCCCACCCCCTTTCCACATTAATCTTCATGTGATGCGACAGACTTTGGGTTGGCTTTCAGGAGGAGAGGTGATGGTGGGGTGGGGGGGGGGGGGGGGGGTGCAGGCAGCAAGTCATACACAGTCACACACACACACACACACAGACAGACAGACGCACACAATCTGCTCTGATGTGTGACGTTTAAAGGAACATTGTGCTCCAAAAAGCGCTTTTCTTTTTTCGTCCTTTAAAAGCCCCTTTTTTTTTAAATGACTTGACTTGACACCCGAGGCAACAGGGATGATTCTCCCACACAAAAGCCAGGAGAGCAGAGCTGAGCTGAGGGGAGCTGGGACAGGACTGGACGGGGGGGGGGGTGTGTGGGGAGAGTTGACACTCTTTATCTTACCTTCCCAACGAATTCGCTATCTTTTAAGTCAACACCTAAAAAACTTGCGGAGGTGGTGGTCGGGGGTCGGTGTGTGTGGGGGGGATCGGGGGGGTCGGGGGGGGGGGGGGGTCGGTGTTGACTTGACAAAAACCAAAGCCACAGACAGTCCAGTCCAGTCAGCCTGACCTGCTATAAAAGTTCACTTTAACACTGAGCTTGGCTCATTCCTCCCTTTTCTTCCCCCAAAAAATAACACCATACAATACAATGGCCCCAACGAAACACAAGAGAGTCGCTCCTTCCTTCACTCACTCACTGACTGACTGAGGCCGCGGTTCAATCCCAACGGTTTTCGTGGTTCAAACCCTCTGCCCCAACGGACAGTTTTTTTTTGTCATGAACCTCCACAAAGTTAACGGCACAGAGAGAGACACACAGACACAGACAGACACCCACACACACAGACAGACACAAAGAAGAGTCTCACTCAGGTTGGTCGTCTGTCAAAGACCGCAGTCTCCCTCCACAAGCGCCGTGGGGGCCCCCCCACCGCATGCAGGTGGAGGTGGTGGGCTCGGCCGCGGGGAGGAATCGCCCGCCCTGTGACTGACTGACTGACTGACTTGACTGAGACGCACTGAGAGCGGCTCTCTCAGCGGACAGCCCCGGCCCTGCCGGAAGCGGGGCGGGGCCTCGCGCCCGCCTGACGGACAAGCGCCGCCGACCAATGGCCAGACCGGAACCCGAGCGGGTCCCGCCCCCGCGCGCCCGATGGACAGCCAATCGGCGTCGGCGGCAGCCGGCGGGTGGGCGGGAGTTCCGCCGACCCTCCCTCCGCCCTCTTTGTTTGTCGGGCGCCGCCGCCGCCGGTATAAGCGACCGAAACCGTTCCCCCCCCCCCCCCCCGGAGCGCAGCAACGGCGTCACTTACTGTCGGCGGAGCGGCCAGGACTACATAGTAATTCCGGGGCGGGACGGGCTGGGGAGGAGCTGCTGCTGCTGCTGAAGCGGACGCTCGGGCCGCGCCGATCCCGCCGCTGCGCAGCTCCTGCGGCAAACGCCAGACGCAGCGACCCGTGGCGCATGCGCGTTCCGCTCGCCTAGGCCCAGGCCTTTCTTTTTCTCCCCCCCCCTCACTCTCCGGGCCCCGCTCAGCGCCGCCGCCCTCCCTCAGCACTCCCCCATCTCCAGCCGCAGCCTCGGCTTCTCCCGGTTTTTTTTTTTTTGGAGACGGGAACTCGGCTCTCCCGGTTGTTTGGAGATGGGAACTCTCGCCCCGGAGCGCAGCCCCCAACCGCAACCAACGATACCCTTTGCTTTTCTCAAGAGTGGTCGTTCACGGTCTGAGAGAAGTCGGTGCTTCCCCCCTCCACCACCACCCCAAGCGGTCGGAGGACCACAGGATCTCTCCCCACCACCACGTCCCACGTGGAGTTCTGACGAAAGGTCATTGACCTGAAACGTTGAACTCACTTTCCTCTCTCTCTGACCTGTTGTACTGTGTACCCAGAGATTTCTGTGTTTATCCCACAGTTAGGGGTCGGTCTTTGAATGGGGTTTGGGGGGGTGGGGGGGAGAAGAAGCTGAGTCTCCTGGAAGCTGAACCGGCTCCCAAGACGACATGCAGGGCAGTGGGCTGTCAGGATGGAGTCTACCCTCTTCCGTCTCTCGGCCGGTTCCTGAGCCAGACTGGTCCGCAGTACTCCAGGGCACTGCTGATGACGGCACAGTCGGCCTGACTCATCGGCAGGACTTGGAAGTGCAGACCGACCGGTCGGTCGCTGGTGGCAGGGAATCCTCCCACTCAGCTCCGGTTAACCTTGCGAGCCAAAGTCCTTACGGGTAGGGTGATCGTTGCAGCACAAGCAGCGGGAAGCTTGCCAGACAGTGCCGACAGTGGCAATCTAATAATGCTTACAGATTGTATTGCACTTTTCAGATCAGGGCATCTCTTATTAACCCTGATAACTTAGGTACCCGGTCGTTAAGTCGATTGGTGGATTGTTTTTCTGGGGGCAATAATCCCATCAAAAAAAAATAATTTGGTCACTCAGTCCATGACTGGGGTGTGCAGTAATTGACATATTTCAGCCACAAAATGTACAGTCAATTCACTTTACAATATATTCTGTAAAGCGCTTTGAGATTGTTGAAGACGTGAAAAGCGCTATATCAAATGCTATTATTATTTTTATTACTGTAGAGTGGAGTCACTTTGTTTGTGGGGAAAGACCCACAGGCTAGCACAAAGCACGACGGCTTGACCATGCTGCATTTGTTGAGGTCACATTTAGCCCCACTTCGTTGGCGATCCTATCGGGTAAATGAGGTAATGCTACCTCCCAACAGAGCCATCCACTTCAAGTGGCTTCTTCCACCTCTCTGGAGTCAATCTAAATGGTATGGTTCCATTTTGTCTCAAGATCTTGTTTCTTTGCCAGGTCAGTAACAACACCCTCACTATATTGTACCACATGATTTAAACTAATCCCTGAATTTGATAGTGTTTAGAACATCAAATGTCTCAGAGCTTCACATGCAGTTAACTGTCAAGTACTGTGGGACTCGTTTGTTTCTAGGTAAACGTGGCAGTCAGTTTACATCCAACAAGGTTCTACAAATAGCCATGAAGTGAATGATCAACTCCCTTCTCTTTGGAATAGTGTAATGAGATTGTTGACATGAGCCTGAGCAGACACACCTCTGTTTAAATCTCATCCAAAGAACAATTAAACTGGAGTTTCACAGAGTAATAGCATTAATCTGTACATGTTATTGGATTGTACAAATCATTAGCTGGATTGCTGAGTTTTGTGCAACTTAGTTAAGGAAAAAATGTTGAGGCCTTGGAGGAGGTTCAGAGGAGGTTTACGAGCATGATACCATGGATAAGGGGTTATAGGTATAGAGATTGGAGATGTTGGGTTTTTGTTGGAGCAGAGATTGAGAGGGGATCTGATCAAGGTGAACACATGAGTTTTGACAAGGTAAATCTGGAGAAGCTACTGTCACTGGTAGGGGAGTCAGTGACTAGGGGCCATCATTATATGATAGTCACAAGAAGAGTGAAATGAAAGTAGTAGAAATGCGAAATGTTGGGATGGGGAATGCCCTGCCATTGAATCACTTTTCTGCCAGTTTTATTTTATTGCAAGTTATCAGGAAATAACACACCCTAGAACTATCAAGTGTGAGCCTCTCTAGGGCTGGAACACAATCTTGCGATTTGAATTACATCCACAAACTGCTTCAGCTACTCTCTCCTAGTCGTTGACAGTGTCTGAATCGCCCGATTATGCTGCAGCAATGTAAGATACTCCAACCTATTGTTAAGTGTAATCCTATGTTTTCGCCAGAGAATTAACCTGCCATTGTGGCATGCTGATACTAATTTGGCATCTACATGGCCCTTTGATAATTGGAGCTGGCTACTCCCCAATATTTGCGTCTACGAACTAGCCCGTGGCTGTGCTTCATCTACATTGTAATCTGGCACAGATCCTCTCCTCCTTTCTGCCCAAGGGGACAGTCTTTTTTGAGTTAAATGAAGACTGTTTAGGATAACTTTACACACAGCAGCAGCCAGATGCTATCTTTTCTCTCCATGCTTGTGTGAAGCATTACATTAAGGTCAGATGAATGTCTGTAGTTCTGTTCAAGCCTTCACCCATTTTGAAGGTTGAACCAAAGTGTTCAACAGCGCCTAATGCAAATACTTTACGGTCATTTTTCTGGAGGAGGTTCTTTTCTGATCACCTCTTTATATATTTTTGTCCACCTTAAAACCTACCTCTTCAACCGCGCCTATGGTCACCTCTCCCTTTTCTCCCTTACTTGGCGTCCAGCCCTGCCATTGTGCCGTGCTCCAGACATTAATCCGTGTGAGGGGTATTATATAAATGCAAGTTTTTTTTTCTCTCTGATACCCTAAAGGTCACCTAATACCTATGGTCAGGTGCCCCTCCTTCCCTTCCCCTTCCTCAGTATCCACCACTGTGAAGTACTCGAGATGTGATCCCAAGTGAAGGGTACTATATAAATACAAGTTGCTTTTTCTCTCTACATTGCAACCATTCTGGTCTTTCTCTATTAATAACATATGTTCATTAATTCTCTGAACTTCCCTGTGTTCCTAGTAAGCTGCAAAAATCCCATCCTACATGGATTATCAGCAGTCCTCCGTTATCTTGTCTGTGCACATTCTTCACGTCAAACCTAGACATTGAGCTGGGCAGCATATTTGAACGTGGTAAGGCAATGCAACTAACCCTAATCCTGCTGATATTCTGCCCATTCCAGCAGGGTCACTGGATATCATTATGAGCAGAAATCTGGTGCTGTCTGTTTTGCTTCATAGCCCAGGGATAGAGATAAGTAATAGCAGTTATCGCTATCCCTGATGGGATAAACTCACAGCACAATTGAGGCTTTTGAGGCCTCTATTTTTCAGGACCACACAGCATCTTATCCAACTGAGCCATCAGAAGACCAAATGAACTCTTTAAACAGACACTAGCAATGGTGAGCCTTTTGCAAATGTGTTTTCTGTCTTTGTCAAACTGTGCTACATAAATAATGCAAATCATAATGAAAGCTGTTATTTGCATCATTTCTGGCAACACATAGACATGTGACATTTAAAACTGTGGGGGAAATGTCACATCACATACTACAAGTTTCCCCCACCGGTATAAGAATAATCATAATCCTTGCATTTGGGCTTATCGTATTGTTGAAACGCCTCAAAGCACAGAATATAAAGTGGAGTGACTGTATTTTGTGGGTGAAACCCAATCTCTGTAATAGAGCTGCTTTGCCAAATTTTTGTGCAGTTTGTTCCTGAAAAATAACAGCCAGGCTCATGGGGCTTTCAGATGAGACGTTAAGCCATCAGCCTGTTCAAGTGGACGTTATAGATACTTTGGCACTAATCGAAGAGAAGAGTGTTTCTCCCAGGGTTCTGGCAACAATCCGCAGATAAGAATCGGTCATTCCCCTCATGATTCTTTGTGTAAAATCCTGTGAAGCACTTTGAGACATCTTTATAAAGCGTTATATCAAATGCAAGGATATTAATATTATTGTACTAACATTATTTTCAAAAGCTGCAGCTGGGGTGATCAGTGACGTTTCCATTGCAGGCCGTTAATGCCGCAGGATCACGTCTTCCTGGATTTCAGGCTGGGGATCAATTTAATATGTTTGAAAAAACAATGATTAATTAAGTCACTGTGAGCTCCAACTTCAAATGATTGATGAATTAAAAGGAAAATACCCATTTTTATCTTCTCTCGGGCCCAACAGTATTGATTATGTGTCTCCGACAAGTACGACTATAAAATCCATTACTGACTTCAAAGAGACAGTAAGCTTCTTTCTTAAAATAGTTGATAGTGTGGTTGATGATATAAAGGGATGTCCTCAGGCCAGAGGGGTGGTGCAGAGCTATACAGTTTTCAAGCTCCGTCACGGAGTTGTAGGGCTCGGTATTCACTACCATATCTGCTAACGTCTTCAAGATGTTTATGTTATGTGAAAAGCACTACATGTCTTTTCCATCTCGTATCACTTGTGCACAGAGTGCCTTCTGTATATAGTCCATCTAAAGTACTGAGTAGTAATAATAATCCTTGCATTTGATATAACTCCTTATCCCGTCTTCAAGAGGTCTCAAAGCGCTTTCACAGAATATACTGGAGTGGGGAGGCTGGGGAGGCATCTGCACTTGCACTGTAGCAATCCGTGGTAGCTGATCAAATCAATCGAGCGTCTGCTGTTAATTTGAGGCTGTTCTGCCATCAGAATCAGGCTCTCTGTTAGTGATGTAGTGCAGGTGGGTCTGGGATTGTTTTCCAATAAGCGCTCATTTCAAACATCGGTAGAGTACAGGTCTGTGCTTTGCATTAACCTCAGTTCAGCTTGAATGCTGCTGCATTTGACACCTTATCCACTGTAATTTATACAGTTATACTGTTGCCACGGTAACACGGTTCCTTATCTCCAAGGCTACAATTAGCATCGTTATTGATATAGTTCCTATTTATCTGAAATCCTGGGTGGATTCTCACATCTCGTTTGCAGCATTAACATCGATCTGTTGTTTACCTTTGCTTGTAACTCCTGTCTCAGCTTTCCCTTCATTGGTGTCCGTCTTACACCTGCTGTAGATTGCCGCGCGCCTATTGACAGCTCTGTCATATCTTCACTTCTCACATGAAGGTATGAGGTACAGGTCGGCTATGGTCTTATAGAATGGCGGAACATGCTCGAGGGGCTGAATGGCCTCCTCCTGTTGCTGAGTGCAGAGGTCCATCTCATCCAACAATCTCACCAAAACTCCAGAGAGATTTGCAAAATATGCTTTCACTTTTAGCACCGAAAAGTGTCAATTGAAAACTAGTCATGCGTTTTACATGTTTATTCCCCGGTTTGGATTTCAATTAGATGGTAATTGCAATTACCTTAGGCATTACTGCTAGTGTGTGTTGTTCAAGTGGAAACTTCAAAATTTCAGTAACTATTACCGCAGTGGGAAACTGTGAGGCCGCAATTCTGCTCTTCACCAGCACCGGTGGGGATAAAGTCAATCTCCGGATCTAAAATCATAAACAAAAGTTTTTTTCAATTTCCTGCTAAAACTATGATCTTCTCAGATCTAAAGATCAGGTCAGTTCACTTGTGGCTCTTGCGGGAGGAGAAGGGAGTCAAATGCCTTCAAGAGGGAAGGGAACAGGAGAAAAATAGTGAGAATTTTTCTAAATGGTAGTGAATGACCATAACAGTTATTTTAATGCTGTCTTCTAAAGGAGCTGTAACTTTGTTCGACTCTAGATTTTATATCCGGGCATGATGGATCAATTGATTTTCTGTCTTGGTGTAACTGCCAATGGATTTTCAGTAAATGGAAAAGTAACATTATATTACTGTTAGCGACTAATGACACAGACAAGGTCACAGACACAACTCTTGTCCTCACAGTGTCAAATCAATATCAGCACTTTGCAAGGACATTTAAGGCAATTTGGTCCCTAACATTCTGTAATTAAAGTTGTGAGGAGACATGCAAGCTGGAGAGTTTGTAAATGAAACAAAACAGTCCAACAACTTAAAAATGCATTTTAAGAGGAAAGTTGATGAATACATGAGTGAGAACGGAATAGAGGGGTATAGGAGAGAGGAATCGGATGGGGTCTCGTGTGGAGTAAGCACTCCGAGATGCTGCCCCGTGTGAAGGGCGCTATATAGATGCAAATTTTTATTGTTGAGTATAAACATGGACTAGTTGGGTTGAATGGTGTGTTTAATTGCCATTATTATTATTATTACTACCACTCTTTGTAATTCTATGTAAACACTTCATTTTTTAATGAAGTAACGGAGAAGGTGGATGAAGGCAGTGCAGTTGATGTAGTTTATATGGATTTTCAAAAGGCATTTGATAAAGTGGCATATAAGTGATAAAGTGTGGAGTCCTGTAGCTCAGTGGTTAGAGCACTTGCCTCGCAAGCGAGAGACCTGGGTTCAATTGGCCGCCGCGTTTCGCCCACAAATATATGTATATACAGTCAATTCGCTTTACAGTCTATTCTGCGAAGCGCTTTGAGACGTCTCGAAGACGTAAAAAGCGCTACTGTCAAATGTGAGGATTATCACTTGTAATAATTATCCTTACATTCAATGCAGCGCCTTTTCGGGTCGGGAGGACGCATCAAAGCACCGCACCGGAGACGCTGTGACGTGTGGCGGACTCGGTGTTGGTGGGTGAATAAAAATGTAGAACCCAAAAATGAGGCTCAACCCCCACCAGACGAGGCTTTGTTTCCACACACAGCGCACCCGCAAATAAAACCGCCCAATTGAGCGTGAAGCCGCCCAACCCGCCCACAGTTGTGCCTCCTCCCTGTGTGGGTGCGGGTGCGGGTGGGTGGAGCGGCCTCCCGCCTGCGGGGGGCGCTGTGGCCGCGGTTGGCCGTTGTTCCTCCAGCGCCTGCGCAGTAACCCCCTCCCTCCCCGAGCCCCCACAATGCACGCGGAGGAGGCAGTAATGGCGGCGCCCAGGAGGGCAGAGCGGGACCACCGCCAGCGCCCCGTGTGAAGGCCCAGACCTTCCTCCTCCGGCTTCACCCGCCGTGGCCATGGCGGCCGCCCTGGGCAGGGGCCTGGTGTGCGGTGCCCTCAGGCTGGCGGGGAGGAGCCGCCCGGCGGCAGGTTAGTAACCGGGGGCCCCGCGGCTCAGGCCTTGACGGCGCGGACCACTTCAGCTCCAAGGAGACGCCATTTATCTCTCAGACAAAGAGACAGACAGACACAGAGACAGACACAGAGACAGAGAGAGAGAGAGAGAGATAGAGAGAGAGAGAGAGAGAGAGATAGATAGATAGATAGATAGATAGATAGATAGATAGATAGATAATAAAATAATAATAATAATAATAATTTGGTCACTCGATCCCCGGTGGGTGCGCGGGACACTACGGTGCACAATTGGCTGCCGCGTTTCCCCCACGAGACACTTGCGGTAACCTCGCGCTCCCTCCCGCCGTTCTCGCCTCTCTTCGGCAGTCTTTGAAACCCGCCTTAAAGTTCCTGACTGTTCAGCAGCCTGACACGTCCTCCTCCTCCCCCTCCTCCCGACGTGAAAGCCACTGTACACATTTAATGAGATGTTCAACCCCTGCCTCTTTGATCACCCCTATGGGCAACCTCTCCCTTCGCTTGGTGTCCGAGCTCTTATCACTGTCGGGTGCTCCGAGACGTTGTCCTGAATGTAAGGCACTAAATAAATGCAAATTGTCGTTGCAGGTCTGGACTTCCTACAAATCGAGGTCCGCAGAATCGCCCGCTTACCCGTGCGTTGCTGTGCAAGCAAGTCTGCTCTGGAAAACATCCTGAGTGTTCCTAAACAAGAGGAGAGTATCAGGCAATACGCTCCTCTAGTCTCGGTGAATAAAGGTAGGTACTGGTCATTTGTCCATCCGTTGACTGTTTATACAATGTTTTTTGGTCAGCCTCAGCCGGGTGTCTGATACACGTAGACACCTATCACCCTACTTAAGATTATCCAACCCGGACTGAGTTTCGCGCATCCGTTCCACCTTCACGATTTGATGGCGATTTCCCTGTGCAAGGAACGCAATGCAAATCTGGAGGGAGGCATCCTGATTACTTAATCTGGAGAGTATTCAGTGCATCTTGGAAGCATGGTGAACTGAGAAGAACAGTGAAGACTTTTACAAGCAGATCATGATAAGCTAAGAGCAATACCCCAGAGTTGAAAGTGTTAGTGTGTGCTGGAATCTAACCAGCTAAAACCGCACAGCTTGCCATTGAGAGCACTGTCTGGCAAGCTTTTCCGCTGCTTAACTGGTTAAAAAAACCAACACTCAACCTGAATATTTAGATGTTCAGCAATCTCAGTGGATCAAATGGCCCTTTTACCGGTTTGTTCTGCAGACCTATGACCCTTCCAGAGATGAGAAGCCAGTGTGGTAGCCCACTGCAGTCGCCCAGAAAGTGAGAGTCTCAAAGTTTTGAGCCCACAGTTCTGCTTCCTGTGTTACTTATAAGCTTGTTTGTGTCTCAGTGGAGCAGGAGCTTCTGCTCGTTCATCAGCCAGACCAACCAGAGAAGCCGAGAGTGCTGCGAGTCGCCATCATCGGGTCCCCCAACGCTGGCAAATCAACACTTTCCAACCAGCTACTCGGCCGAAAGGTGAGCTCAGCACACAGCTTGTCTTTAAACTGTTACAGCGCCCAGTCAGATTCCTGACCTTGTTGGTGCTTTTCAATCAAACGTAGGATTCAAGGAATTGGGTATAATAATGCTTGCATTTTTTCCCTCAAGTTTGTTGAGGAGAAGCAGCAGTCTTCCATCATTAGTCAGTTAGCAAGTTTGGGAACCATGGCAGACTGAGCTGGGGAAAGGACAGTCTGCCCGCACTCGAGAATAGATTATAAAGGCCCATACCCCAATCCGAGGGGTCAGTTAACTCGGCACAGACCAGGTTTGGACCTGGATCCTTCTGGTCTGTGGGCCTCAGGCCCACTCTGAGTGCTATCTTCACAAGCGGTGCCGTCGGAGCCCATTCAATCGTTGAGTGAGCTGCCAACATTTGTATTTTGAACTGCCCAAAGTTTAATATTGGTAAGAAAAGCCTGTTCCTCTTTCCACCGGCTGCTAAACTGGTGAATATTGAAACCCCTGAGTTTCAGACCGTCAAGTTAAATAAAGGTCGTCTCTCTTTATTCCTTTCCAGATCTTCCCTGTTTCAAGCAAAGTGCACACAACACGTTGCCAGGCTCAAGGAGTTATCACTGAGGGAGAGATACAGATTGTGGGTATTCTCAAACATAACCTCCTTTCCTGCGTTTAAAGAACAGTAGCTGCAACTTGTATGTAACGCGTGTCGCTGTGTCTCTCCCTGGCTAACGTTCCACTCTCGCTTTGCAGGTTCTCCTGGACACCCCTGGGCTCACCACTGCTGCCAAGGGAAAAAGGTTCAGTAGTTTCTCTTTTTCTGGCTTACCCAGCTGTCTGTGGCCAGGTGTCTTGTCAGTGTTCATTTTTAACCTGTTTGCAATTCCTTTTCCATTAGACACAACCTTGAGAAGTCATTGCTGGTGGATCCCTGGGACTCGGTGAAGGAAGCCAATCTGGGTGAGTGAGCTGGTTCAGGCGGGCGAGTGGGGATCAAGCGCAATATGTTACCACGGCGCTGTTCAAAAAAAAAAAAAAGAGTTTCTCTCTCCTCCTATCCTGGCCAACAATCCCCCCAAAATAAAAAAAAAATTGATCACTCACTCCATGGCAGTTTGTGGGACACTGCCGTGCCCAACTGGCTGGCACGTTTCACCCACAAAATACACAGTCACTCCACGTTACAGTGTATCCTGTAAGACACTTTGAGAAGTCTCACCGACGTGATAAGGCACCATATCAAATGCAAGCAAGTTAGAATGTATTGGATTTAAGATGAACGGCAAACCTGAGTGTGTTAAATGTAATCAGATTAATAGTCGTTGATTAATAGTAATATTACAGGAAGAAGCCAAGCTTTTCATGTGTGGATGAGGGTTTTCTATCAGTCAGGCAGGCCAGACCCATTGCTAACTGACCATCTCAAAGGCCGTAGTGTCTAAATAGATTTATTTTGTCTCCTAGTCCTTGTGTTGGTTGATGTTTCTGATCACTGGAACCGCTATAATCTCAGCCTCGAAGTGTTGAAATGCCTCTCGCAAAATTCCCACGTCCCAGCGGTTTTGGTGCTGAATAAGGTAGGCAAAGCCATTCCCATCTGCATCTGTTCCAAATCCAATACATCAGGCCTGCTCTTTCCCACCCCACCACTCTTCCCTCTTTTCCTTCCCTCCAGTGCTGTCCATGTGATTTTAAATGTATATTTACCAGCATTGTTTACCAGTCTAAGAGTGATCGAGCTTCCCTTTTGCCTCCCTTTGTCACCCTGTGGATGCAGGTGGATCTTCTCAAGAGCAAAGGCCTCCTCCTGGATCTAACAATTGAGCTCACGGAGGGGATGGTGAACGGGAAGAAACTGAAGATCAAGTCTAAGGTTAAATCACTCGCACAGTCCACGCAAGGCGACTGCGGGGCCATGGAAGCAGGACACTTGCCGGAAAAGGAGCCTGGATCCCGGGACGTGCACGCCGCTCCTGTTTGTCAGGCGGACGGCCAGATCGGTGCTCAGGAAACCGTGGCTGAATCCGGTGCTGAGCCAGCCCCCAAACAGCACAGGGGCAACCAGCACCTGAAACACAAACAGGGGTGGCCACACTTCAGGGAAGTCTTCATGCTTTCGGCTGTTGACGGGGATGAGGTGGAGACACTGAAGGTGAGTTCAGTCGCCAAAGAGGGCTGCACAAAACCCTGCTCCGGTCGGTCTGCAGCGACCGTCTGTTCCTAACGGTGCTGTTTAATGCTTGGTTCAGGTGGTAGCACTCTCGTTCAGAGTCTGAAATGCGGCAGCACTTTGAACTAGGCTGACACAACAATGCAGTGTTGGACAGATGTTGGGAGAGATCTGCGAATGTCTAACCGATTGGTTCCCAGCATTATTTTGCACACTTAATAAAATGGGAAGGTATTGATGTTGAGAGTTTTAAGATCCAATCAGTACGTTTTTCCCATCCGTCCAAGAATGTGCCGCAGCCCTGTGTCTTGAGTGAATAAAAACTCTGCTCTCCTTACACAGCACTACCTGCTATCCCAGGCACAGCCCGGGCCTTGGGATTACCACAGCACCGTGCTCACCGACCAGTCTCCCCAGCAGCTCTGCATCAACCTGATCAGGGAGAAACTCCTGGAAATCCTGCCACAGGAAGTGCCGTACAGCATCACCCAGGTAAAGTCCCCACTTTGTCACCTCGGTTACCAGACGCCGGTTACAAAAATGTAAGTCCTGTAGCGTCGTGGTTAGCATGCTTGCCTCGCAAGCCAGAGGCCCCGGGTTCGATCCCTGGAAAGTGCGAAACCTTAGGCAAGTTTCTTTACTCCAGAAGCCTCCGTTTACCAGGCAGTAGGTATGAACCCAGTTGTTAGCCGATCAGCCTGTGAACCTGTTTTGCCATTTTATTAGATCATCTCCCCACCCTTTATCCACGTCACCTAATACCTTGGAGTAATTCCTAAGGTTACCCAGCCTCTCATCATATCTCAGCCCCTTATCTCAAACAAGTATTATTGCTGGACACACTCCCAAGGCAGGTGTATGATCTCTAAAGCTCTAATGAGGGGTACAAGGGCAACTCAGGGCAACAGATCAGAGCAGCCCGGAGTGGCCACCAGGGGACAGGAGAGGAGAGGACAGTTATCCATCCCAAAGTGTTAAAAAAAATGAGTGTTTTGTTTTTAATCTCCTCAGAGCACTGAAATGTGGGAAGAGGGCCCGAGCGGAGAGCTGCGGATTTTACAGAACCTCACAGTGGTCAAGAAGAATCATGCGGTTAGTATACAGACAGACTGAGTGAGCCCTTTACATCAGAGATGAAGTGGTGAACTGTATCCACTTCACATTGCAGCAGCAGCAGCAGCCTCTCGTATACTCACTCCTCTATCTCCCCGATTGCTCAATCGCTGTTTAAAAAAAGGAGGATATTTGCAACATGTTAACCAGCATATTTTCTAATGAGGAAATGTCACTCCAGGTCTGAAACAGGTGCAATGGTAACCCACTAGCCCTTGAACCGTGTTGGGTTGAGCAATACTCTGAAATGGTTCTGGGCATTTACTGTGATAATGGCTGTGTGTTTGTGTGTGTGTTATATTCTGTGACTGGGATTGGGTGTGTACAGAGGGCTGCGAGTGTGTGTGTGTGTGTATTGGAATGTTTCTGTCGATTATTGGTGGTGCTGACGACTGTTTACAAACTCTTGCAGAAGATGCTGATCGGTACGGGCGGCCAGGTGATCGGTAAAGTGGCCCGTGAAGCTGGCCAGGATCTGATGAACATTTTCCTCTGTGACGTTCACTTAAAGCTGTGTGTGAAGGTGAAGAAGTGAGTGATAACACACCTCCCGCCTCGTTGGTCAGCTGAACGAGAACCACAGTCACATAAGCCTTCCACTGTGCTGGAGATAAAAGTCCAGCTCTGGCTTAAATGAACAACGAACGTGTTTCACATCAGAACTTCACACGAGCAATAAGTGTGTGTTCAGCGAGCAGTCCCCGAACTGATTTTTAAAAAAAAGTCTGCGTCAACCAGGAAATGTAATGCAGGCAGCAAGGCTTCAGTGAAATGAGCCTAGAAGGTTGCTCAATGGATCTAATGGTTTTGTCCACAAAATATACAGTCAGTTCACTTTACAGTATATTCTGTGAAGCGCTTTAAGACGTCTCGAAGATGTGATCAGGGGCTATATCAAATGGGACAATCGGTACTAACTGAAGCCACTGACAAGAGAAAGAGAGAGAGACTTTACCTCGTTTATTGAACTTATAAAGGACTTTCCTTCTCCAGCTGATGTTTGCTGTCGAATAAGAGCGTTTACTTAATACACTCGGTCTGAACTGGGCAAGTGACTAACCAACTCGTCCCTCTTGGCCCTGGATCAGGAACTCTTTAAAGGGTGAGGTTTGTGGCTGGTTCAGCTCGAAGCTCGGACCAGAAATGCTTTGACCTGGAGGTGGAGCCTCTTTGTTCAGGTAATTGTGTGAATTACTCGGAGCTCTGATTAAACCACACACTGTCTGCACCCAGATGTGACTGTGAGTGAGTGTACTATACATCTACCGGACATTCATTCCTGTTACACATTTCGCCCACAAAATATATAGTCCGTTCACTCCACAGAATATTCTGTGAAGCGCTTCGAGGCGTCTCGAAGACGTGATAAGGCGCTATATCAAATGCAAGGATTATTATTTTATCATTATTACACACACAGCAGCAGTGTCCACCACTTAATCCGAAACGACAGGGTAGATAGATTCCACCAGTAGGTGTCACACTGGAACCCTCTAACCAGTGCACTAGATGTATAAAGTGTGCTGTAGAGAATCGCTACTGCAGTAATTTTCACTGTGCGCTTATCAACCAGCACATCTAGTCTCCAAAGGCTCAGAGTCTTTGATCTTCCATGGCTGGGAACCAGAGAAGGATCAAATGTTCTGACTCCTCACCCAGCAGGGAAGAGCCCCCTGGCTCAGTGCGGCGCTGAACTTCTCAGCAGGCGCCCACTCTGCTCCGTTAGCTGATAATTAGCTTGAGCTGCTGCAGTCTCCAAGGGCTGGCAGGTTACTGTTACCAGGATAGACTGGATAGGTTGGGCCTTTTTATGCTGGAGCAGACAATTAAAAGGGGACCTAATCGAGTTGTTTAAAATTTGACGAGGGTTTGATAAGGTTTACATTAATACGCAGTTGCCACTGATTGTGGAATCCGTAAACAGGGCACAGATATAGCATAGCAACTGCAGATCTAAAAGACAAGTTAGGAGGAACTACTTCATGCCGAGGCTCGTGTGATTGCGGAACTCTCTGCCCAAAGCAGTGGTTGGATCAGATGGTACAGATGCATTTAAGAGGAAGCGAAATATACATATGAGTGAGAGATGGAATGGAACAGTATGGGAAATCTGCGGCCACACCTCACAAAGCCCAGCTCCTTATTTGAGTGTCGTCTGCTCTGTAAGATCTCCTGACTAACTCTTTAAAGAGTCGGTTGGAGGCAGTTGAGTCTTCAGGCAGCGCAGTGCTGTGACACTGATGTTCTTTGTCTGGATGCTGAGGCAGCAGACACTCTCCCAACCCCAGCTGCCGAGAGAGGCGGATCATTTAAAGGGCCCGAGCGCATGAAACATTCAGAAAGCCGTTCTCCCCACACCCCACAGACAAAGTTGTCTTTTTCTCCACCCATATTCAGTCGGGTCTAAAACAAGACGCCTCTTGTTCCTGCCAGGCTCACAGATGGCCAGTTCTATTTAAGTGTCTGTTAACATTGAAACGGGGAAAGTAAATAAAATCACATTGCATAATTAACTCCCAGCGGCCAACTCCCTCCTTTGGCGCACAACCCACATCCCTGACAGCGAGCTGGCCTGATCACCAACACTGCAGCTCGTTCTGTTAGATCGATAAAGTGCAGTGTTGCACATTTATTCTTCTGTACTTGTAAATGAATAGCTGCAATGCCATTCATTTTACGTTATGAATAACGGGAAATTATAACCTGAATTACACTTGTTTATTTTCACTCCTTCAAGTCTCTTCCTCTTCCCCTTCAACTTGCCTTCGTGACCCCTAACTGCCAGCTCGGGTCCGAAACCCCTGATTGTCCAACGCCCTGGGACATCTTTCCAACATGAACACCGCTATACAACTATTATTTGTTGTAGTTGCACTAACTTTCTTCCCTGTGCCTTCTCCTGAAAGCAACTGATTATTCCTTCCGCAAACACCACCACCTCCCCTCCCCCCCCCCCCCTTCCCCCTACCTCACCCCCAGTGGCCGACACAGAATTCGCACCAACGAAACAATTCTGCAGTCAGAGAAAAAAGGAGAAGGAGAATGTGGAAGTGAAACACTTGACGGAGCGACCCAGCTGACCGGCAGGAAAACTCTAGCAAAAAAAAAAGAAACCTGCTGTGCTCTGGTGTCGAATTGCTCAATTGAATTTGACCGAATCATTCTAATTTGACAATAACTTGGACTTATACCCCGCCTTTCTTATCGAATAAATCTCGAAGCCGCTTCACAGAATATGGTTGAGCAGAAATGAGAGTGAGTGTTGTTCATGGGCAAAGTTAAGCAAGCAGAAGTTTAAAACATTTTACTTTAACCACTTAAGTTCTCACATCAGCTGCTCTTTTCCCCACACATCAGTGGTTGATAAACAATGAATAACACATAGAGAAATATACTCGGTGTGACTGAGGCCACTTTTATTAATAATAAGAATGACACAATCTCGCAGTCAGTGAAGAGGTTTCATCATTGCTGTGTTGTGAGTACACATGCGTCCAGGGTTATGTGTGTTGATGTGTCACAGTACGTGTGTGTGTGTGTGGGTAGGAGTAGGGAGTGTACGCTCTTGTGTGCCACAGGAATGCGCAGTGTGTGGGGTTCTTTAGGAGGTGAGCAGAGCATTGAAATTTCACCTCGCAGTCAGGTGAATAAGGATAAGGAAGTCTCTGAGGTGGGATTGGCCGTGTATGAGACCGTCTACGTGACTGTGTGTACAAACCACAATCATCTTGAAGCCCTCCCGGTCTCCCTTGCTCGTTTGCGTCTCCTCGCTCGCTTCCCGGTTTGTGGTGACGAGATCGGAGGCAGCAATATAACCCTTACCAGTACTTAATACAAGTAATGGTAACGGTTTGATTGACACCCCCCAGAGTCTTGACGGTCTGTTTCGAGTGGAGAGACAGAGCGAAAGAGAGAGAGATGGGATTAAGCATGAACACAAACTCAGAAACCACTGACCAAAAACCTGCTGATAAAAAGCAACTTCTCTTTATCTCGTACCCGAGGCAGTGGTTGGAACGTAAAGCGAGAGAATGAGATAAAGGGGCGTTCAGCCCACGCAGCGCCTTCTCCTTCCACAAACCCCTCGTAGCCTGCGAGGGGGGGGGGGGGGGGCGGGAGAGAGACAGACAAAGCCAACTCAGTTCATGTCCTGCAGAGACCCCCACTCCCTGACCTCTGAGAATCCTCCCAAACATTCACCGATCGTTCAATCCCACCTCATCCCCGTTCCGTACCCCCTGAAAAACTTCCCTCAAGATCCGGCCACAGCAATGCGCTAATATAAATGCAGGTTGTTGTTGTAGTTGTTATGGCAGGGTCTGGGCTCAGGGACCTCCTGCTCACTCTGGGATCTCTCCCAAGCCTTACCTGGATTTCCACCCAAAGCGCTTCCCTCTCTCTCTTGCTCCCCGGCTTGTGGTGATGAGATCGGAGGCAGCAATGTAACCCTTACCAGTACTTATACAAGTAATGGTAACGGTTTGATCGACACCCCCAGAGGCGGCTGGGTCTGGTATTCCAAGTGCGGAGACGCAGAGAGAGAGCAGACGGAGAGATGGGACGGTTAACACAACCCGGTCAAGCTTTCAGAACCTCCTCAGAATGTTCTGCACAAAGAGCAGTTGCTGTTTGTGTGTGTGTGTGTGTGTGCGCCACTTCCCTTCGTGAGCTTCTCTTTTGAGCAGAGGTCGGTCCTGGTGAAGGAAGATTTCTGTAGAATATCTGCAGAAGTTTATGGTTTTAAACAGAAGGCAGCAGTTCCTGATTACACCCCAGTCTCAGTCTTCTAATTGCAATTTGTCCACATGACCATATATCGGCAAAGGCTCCGATGCACACTAAGCACACCTCGCCAGCACACTGTCAGCTCAGCAAAAAGGGTTTTATATTTTACACTGCGGGTGAGAGACATTCTAGAAGTAGAAAACGAGAGAGAAATAGGGAGAGAGCAGGAGCTGTCAAGTGTGGCAATATAGCAACAAGTATCCCCAATGGAACAATGTTTTAGTTGATGCCAATGTGCATTCTGAGTGATGTCCGTTTAACCACACTGTCTGCTTATCTACCAAGAGCCTGGATAAATGTCGATCACAGATAACGGTTGAGCGCTGGAGCCCAGGGCTGCGTTGTGTGCGGCTGGAGATGTGTAGCCCTGTGTAGTACATCATCTATACTGTAGTGTCTGAATTGTGAACTTACAATATATGATGATATCCAGCCCAGAGCACAAGGCACGGCCACAACCCAGGACCCCGGTCAGTCAGTCAGTCAGTCAGTCAGTCAGTCAGACACACAGTGAAACACACACTCAGTCAGTCACAGACCAGTCTTTCCTCCTCACTCACGCTCTCCGCTCCTCCACACTCTGCTTGGCGTAATGTTCCACAGGTGTTGGAGACCCATTACGTTATACTCTTCGGCCTTCTCCCATTCCACTGCCGCCCCCCTCATGTGAAGTGTTGCTCTGAGGCTGAAACTACCCCCACCCTGCCCACTCTTGCTATGTGTGAACCGGAGGAAGGGGAAACAGTCTCTTCCACCCCCCCCCCCCCACCCCCCAGCTCCTGACCTGCTCTGTGCTGTCCTGCCTGTCTGTCTCTCCGCTCTGCTCTGGGTGGGTGGTGGGTCTGTGAAGTTTAAACAGACGTCTCGAGCATCGAGCTGGAAAAGAGAAGTGAAAGTGGATCAGTTCAGTCCCTAAATAACCGAAATGAAAAGCTGCTCGCCATGACCGAAGCCCTTGCTCTGAGCCCCCGGGCTGACCTGTTTTGGGGGCTTGCTCCGCCACTGAAGCTCTTTACTCTTGTCCCATTCCCTGCTCCCTCCCCATCATGTCTGTGATAGTGCTCGCTCCCCCACTGGAGCTCTCTACTGTAACCCCATTCTAACACACATCTCTTAACTCGCATCCATGATCTCAACCCAATCGATCTCTGCTGTGACTCTCACAGTCGGGACATTCTTTCTAGAACACGTCACCCAAGCCCAGAGCCACCGGCAGACTGTGGCCACATGTGACACACACAAGTCACCTCCACTCTCACTCTTTCACACTCTCTCTCTGTTTCTCTCTGTCTCTCTCGTTGGGGATGGATGTCCCCATGTTCCCGGCGGTGGTGAGTTTGCCGATTCCCCAGCGAGGGTTACTGTGAGCCACGTTCAGGCCCTGGAGTGGGATACCAGCTGGCAATAAAACTTCTGTTGCTTTTTTCTAAAAAAAACATCAAAAAAAAGGGGTTACATAACATCCGTCATGGGAGTGAAAGCAAAGCACGGAAAGATTGGGCAAGAACACGAGTTAGCCCTGCCCAGAGCGAGACCGACCCAAACCACACACACTCGCCCCTCACACACATCACTCGCGCGCGCACACACCGCTTGTTTCAAGTCCACTCACCGCTGTTTAGCCACAAAATATACAGTTCACCTTGCAGTATACTTCTGTGAAGCGCGTTGAGACGTCTCGAAGACGTAATTAAACGCGAGGATTATTATTATTTGCGCTTATGTCACTCGCGCAAATCTCTCTCTCACACCCACACAATCACACGCACACTCTCTCTCGCTCTGAATCCTTCTCAGTAACTGAGTGGCTTCCCCTCGGCTGCAGTTATCTTGGGCTGCCTTCATTTGCATACACGTGCCACCCCATCTCAGCTCATCTCTTTAACCATTGCACGGCTGGTGCCCACTCCCAGGCTTACAGCGAGCTGGGGCGGGCGGGGTGGGAGGGGGGCCTTTGCTTGTGGTTTGGGCGGAGGACAGGGTGGGGGCTGTGTTTCTGTCAATGTGCCGGGGATGAGCTGAACGATAAAGAGCTGCACGTGTCGCCTATCAGTGCGTGGCCGCCCCTGTGTCCTCTATCAGCCGCACAGACGGTGAGCAGAGAGTTTCCAGGAAAAACACGGCTTCTGAGAATCTCATTTGTTTACCGGGTTTCCCGTTACAGGTTTCACTAAACAAGGTGGTTTGTGCTCCTCAAAGGCAAGGATGGATGTCAGTGTCGGGAGTGAAAGACTCGTTCAATTTAAACACCAGTTTCAGCATCAAGTACTCCCAGGTCAGCGCCAGCACAGGTTAGAGGCACGGTAAAGCTCCCTCTGCACTGTCCGTCCACACTCCCACGTCAGGGTTAGAGACAGAACAGAGCTCCTTCTATGCTGTCTGTCCAGCATTCAGTTGGTAGTGCTCTTGACTCTTGAGTCAGAGGGTTTGAGGTTCAAACCCCACATCAGACACTGGGAGAGAGAAACCCCTTCTCTAAACCAGCGCCTTGGGATGTCCTCCTGACATGAAAGGTGCTATACAAATGTTATTTTATATTGTATTCTCTTTTCGAATAGTGCAACTGGATCTTTAATATCACCTGAATGGGCAGACGGGACCTCAACCATAACTCGCATTTATATAGCGCCCCCTCAAGCAGGGTAGCGTCCCAGAGGGCTTGACAGTGGCCAACGCTGAACCGGAGGAAGGGAGGAGGGGGGAACCGTAGGTATGGCCGAAGAGGTAGAAGGGGGAAGTCGGAGTGATAGAGGAATTATCCTCAATTGCTGTGCGCAATTGGCTGCCGTGTTTCGCCCACAAAATATACGGTCAAATCCCTTTACAGTGTGTTCTGTGAAGCTCTTTGAGACGTCTTGAAGATGTGATGAGGCGCTATATTAAATGCAAGAATTATTATTGTATTATGTATATTAATATGCAATTATAGTAACGATCTTTGCTTTTAATCTCCGGTCTCCAGGCTCTGGTATTTGGGTGGATCAGTAATGACTTGGTTTATTGGTGACTGGATAAGAGACTGAGCCCCAGCCCTACCCAGGTTGTGGACTATCCAGAACTCTGCCGCCCGTACCCTCATCCGCATCAGGCTCAGCCAGTCTATCACCTCCACCCTCGCCCGGCTTCGCCGGCTCCCCATCCCCTGAGCGGATTGAAAGATCCTCGTCCTTATGTTCAGATCCCTCCACGACCCCCTGTAACCTCTTGAAGCCTCCGGGATGCTACCCTGCGTGAAGGGCGCTGTATAGATGCAAGTTGTAACCCCCACCGCCCCGTCCTCTCCCTCCGCTCAGCAGGCATCGGCCTGATTCACTTCACATCCCCCACCCTCCGCCCCACCATCGGCAGGCGAGCTTTCAGCCTTCCCACCTCTGCAACCCCTTCACCTCACCTCCTTCCCTCTTCACTTTTAAAACCCGTCTCAAGACTTACCTCTTTGATTGCGCTTTCAGTCACCTTCCCCCCCCCTCCCCCCCCCCCCATCCCACCACACCTACACACACACAACAACAACAATAACAAGATTCCATTTATAGAGCACCTTTCACGTCGGGAGGACGTCCCAAGGCGTTGAGACACCCCAACAGGACAGGTGCTATGTAATGTAAACTGTTGTAAAGGACAACATTTCCTTTGGTGGAAATCCCGATGGAAAAGAGAGTTTGGATTGTTGTCGCTAACACGGGTGTGTTTGACCTACAGGGTGTCCACAAATTCATATTACCCCCATGGTATTTCTCCCCCCCACCACTGTGTACTGATCAACAACTGAAACATGTGGAAGAATGATGATAATTGTATTTAGTCGTACTGTACTTAATTGTATTCGATACAAGTATTTAGATGTCTCGAGGATACGGTGTGAGTGAGTGAGCACTGTCATAGAATCGTAGGACCTTACAGCACAGATGAAAACCATTCGGCCCATCGTGCCACCAACTCGTCCCATTCTCCCATACCTGGGGTAATAATTGCTGCAAAAAAAATTGGTCTCTCAATCCACGATTGTTTGCGGGACACTGCTGTGCCCATGTTCGCCCACACAATATACAGTCAATTCACTTTACAGTATATCCTGTGAAGCGCTTTGAGACTGCTTAACGCCGTGATGAGGCGCTGGGTCAAATGCAAGGTTTATGATTATTATTTTCATGGCAGATAATGAATGCTTTGCTGCTATTTGGGGGAAGCCTTGCTCAGCTCAGCTCAGCGACGCAAACCATCCACCTCTTCCCTAATTCCTGTTCCTGACTCAGGGTGACATACTGAGCAGAGAGGCTCTCTCGTCGGCTGAGTTCAGCTGATACAGACCAGGACCAACAAACATCAGGACACGCACTGGGAAGGAACCAGGCTTGACCAGCCTGGCCACCGGACGGGAGGAGGGTGACACCACGCTGGGTTTCGTGGCACGAACGCTCTGGGGTGCATCCCATTCCAACAATCTATCTCCGGGAGGCATGGAATTCCCAGCTTGGTTCGGAGACTCTTAAGCAACGGCGGTGGGTTTCCGCACGTGACAGACGCCCGGCTGTTGGCCCGAAAAAAACAAGTTTGGGTGAGTGAACGAGTGAAAGGCTGTGACATTGGGTATCAGCTGTGAGCAGAGACCACACCCTGTTACACAACACCCTCAGCGCCCAGGACACTGGCCTTAAACACAGAGATAGAGCGGGTGTCAGGAGCCAGCAGGGGTGGGGTGGCCCCTGCTTATCTTCACCCTGACCGTCCTCCCCGCGCTCGGCTCCATTGCTCCACTGGACTCGATTACAGCAGAAAATGAATTCATTTGAACGCTAAGATAATAATAATAATAATTAATAATAATCCTCGCGTTTGGCGTAGCGCTTTTTCACGCCTTCTCGACGTCTCAAAGCGCTTCACAGAACAGAGCGTAAAGCGAATTGACCGTACATTTGTGGGCGAGACAATAAAATATTGTCATGATAATGACAATGATAACAATGATAGTCCCGGCATTTGATGGAGCGTCTCATCACGTCTTCGAGACGTCTGAAGGCGCTTCACAGGATACCCCGTGAAGTGAATTGACCGTATGTTGACTGGAGCCGAGCAGGAGAGCCTCTCGTCTCGTCTCGTCGACGTTCAACTGGAGAAAGCTAACTCTCGTCCAGGACATTTGCATTTATCTGCGTAGCACTTTTCGCACAGAGCGACATCCTGAAGCGACGGAGTACAGCTTCAGCCCTCCGTCTGTTTACTGATGGTCGGGGGTCGGAGACATTCCTGGCTACACCCCCCCCCCCCCCCACACACGCACACACACACACCCCCCACCCCTCTCTCCCCCACCGTCCAAGCCCACCGCCGGCTCGTGTGGATTGCGTCCCGGCTCTAAACCGTCTCAGTGGCTGATCCGGGAGCAGCTGCGCGGGGGGGAGGGTGGGGGGTGGGGGGGGGGAGAGCGGAGGGGCGGTTAGGGTGTGGGGTGGGGGGGGGTGTTAGATTGTGGGGTGGGGGTGCGGGGGGGGGGCCGGTTAGGATGTGGGGGGGGTGTGTGTGTGTGGGGTGGGGGTTGGGGGGTTTAGGGTGTGCGGGGGGGGGGGGGGGGGTGGGGTGGGGGAGGGGGGGTGTGTGTGTGGGGGGGGTGGAGGGGTGTGTGTTGGGGGGGTGGGGGAGGGGGGGGGTGTGGGGGGGTGTGTGTGTGTGGGGGGTGGAGGGGTGTGTGTTGGGGGGGGTGGAGGGGTGTGTGTTGGGGGGGGGTGGGGGAGGGGTGGGGTGTGTGTGGGGGGGTGTGTGG